ATTTTCATTGTTTCTATAGAATAGTAGTTACTATCCTAGTGTCTCATTTGTATTTACTTAGTTTACATGTTTTAATAATTGTAAAGCGCTTAGAGCTTTATGATAAGCGCTATATAAAAATGCCTAAATAAATAAATAAATAATGAATTATCAGTGTAAAGAAAAATATTTTTGGGTGATGCATAAAAAAGTTCCCAGAACCCTGATCTTAATAATGGAATTATCTGAAAGCTGAAAATTTTGAAAGGGAAGAGGGTTCAGTGCAAGTTTATTGAAATAAATACCTATTAGCTTTAACATTCTTTTTCTTTTGAATATGTTAATGTAAATATATATTGGTGTCGTTCAAATATTTGAGCTAAGAAATAGGCCGAAATCTTCTCACAAAAGCCAATGAACAGCGGTGTCGTCGTGCCAGGGTGTCTTAACTTTGAACTTAATATAACAGGGAACACCCTGCCTAACAGAGTGATAATATTAAGTTATTAAATTGACCTCTCCAACATTAAACTTTTAGTTGTCTGAACAACACTGAGATTCCAGTATTAAACAGAAACTCGTCCCTCTCCCCCATAGACAGCGACGAGGCCATGACAGGCAATTCAGGCTCATACCAGCAAGAAGCCAGTATAGGAGCTGCTCATTCCTGCCCAAGACAATCAGGGACTGGAACCATCTTTCAAAAGGAACAGTTGAGGCGACAACACTAGACACATTTGTGTTCTAGTGCATAATTTCCTCATCACCACCAGTAACAGAAACATTGCAAATCCCATCTACATGCATAGGAGCCAAAATGATCAATAAATTGATCGTGGGCCCTTAAGATATAGAAGAAGAAGAAGAAGAAGAAGAGATGCGGTTAGTAAAGTGACTCTGTAAAATTAATTTTATGCATCCTCAGGTTGAGGCAGTGAATGATGGTCACCATGTTTATATTGTTCAGTGTAAGCCTGGATGTAATGAGTTTAAAAACGAATAAACAAATCAAAGTTTAATTTACTTCTCCAGAAATGAACCAAAAAAATTACCTAGATCAATACTTGACTGTATTGATTCATAATATAATGTGTTTTAGGACCAAAAAAAGTAACCTTCTTTACTTTTATATTACAAGCACAAACATAATTAGAAAACATGAATGATATTACACATTGTCATTACTAATAAAATATGATAAGAACCACACAAAATATTGTAAAGTTTTAATGTAAATTATGTAACAAAGAGTGGACGGAATGTATATTTCAACAGATAAAGTAACCTTATGTATATTTCTAATAAGCCAAAGAAATTAATTGTTAAAAAAGGAAGTTTCAAAAAATTATTTGTACATGTATAAGTTTATATGAATTAAAAATATGTTTTAGTATTGTATGCCTAAAACAATTGTGCCCTTAAGGGACAATAATATCACGCTAAATTTCTAACACAGCTTGAAAACAAGGTTAGTGTTTCATGAGACAATCTTATAACTAATTTAACAGTAGTAGAGACTAGGAAAAGTTCGTGGCCCTTTATGATTCTCCTAAGTGATGTCACATTTCAGTAAAATATGCACAGACATAATATGCAATTTATCAAACTGATAAATGGTATTTATTATTTAAAATTAAGTTACTTTTTGGTTAAAAGACATTAAGTGGAAAGCAAAGCCTCATGGGAATATGACTTTGCCGTGTTAAGTAAGTGAACAAAGAGTTATAAATTAATGGGTGAAATTCTCATTGCAGAGCAGTAGAAATCTGCCCATGCCCCTGGTCCGATTTAAGAAATGCATGACTTCTTTAAGATGGTTATTGTACCACTTGGCAATGCACCATAACCAAGTAGGCAGTACCACTTTATTTCAAAGCGTGTTTTTTAAGAAATTTGTCTTAAATCCAATTTATCCAAAACTTTATTTTAAAAAATGTAACTGATAAAAGGAATGAAAAATATAATTAGTTCACAATCCTATTATTGCAATGATAATTGCTTATAGATTGTAGTATAGCTTTTTATTCATAGACAAAATATAGACTGTGGATAATATAGCCTATCTGAAGGTTAAATAGTTTACATGGTATTGTCTAGTCATACATGCTATAAAATAATGTAGTACAACTTAAAATTAGAGTGCAGGCTAAAGAAACTAATTTGTTAGCTGGTGAGGGTCTTATAGTCATACACAAATATTAAAACTTGTTTGCATTATTCCTCTCCAGAATTGTATAATTTAGTTTCTTTTTAATTTATGAAGCTTACATCCCATGGGGTAAAAACGATGAGGTGCTGTTAAGTATTGTCTACTATGATAAATTAAACGAATACCTTCCAACATCATCTTTATACTCCCACAACTCAATACAACTATTTGCAACCCCAATAATGCACTCTCTACCAAAATAGAAAAACACTTGGTTTAAAATGTTTTAAAAAAAAGATATACCAGACCTATTTACTCCTACGATTTTGGCGTACAAAATACAATTTTGAGGTTTATACATTATATATATTGTGCATTTTTTTACTATTAAAATAATGTATTGAAAGATTTTGTGATGATATTGTACGATTTTAAGAGTTTGGGGGTAAACAGGTCTGTAATAACACATCCCCCCCTCCCCCCCGTTACCTATTAGCTTACTAATCTCAGCATTGACTTAAAGATTGCTGATCTCTACAGCTATATTAGTTAAGAAATACTGCAGAAAAAGCATGTCATTTATATTATTTTATATTCAGCTTCATACAATTTAAACAAATGCTGTACACATGGTATTTTATTTCATAGAATTTTGACAAAAAGTCAATGGAAGAAGAAGAAATATACAAATGCTTTATAAAAAATAAATATATTTGTGTCATTCACATAAGATTTGATCATCTTTTTTTCACAGCCCATCACAAAATCTATGTAAATTTCATTCCTCAATTATTTTATGGAAATCATTATATCAAACTTTTGACACATAAAATCTGACATTACAAATTTTCCTTACCATAGTATTTTGAAAAGCTGCTTGAAGGACACTGATGTACATTTTATGCTATCACAGTTAATGAAAGAAATATTTCCTTATATCTTTCTTTAATGTCTTCATCATATCATTGAAAGGTTATGAATTATGATATTTATATATTCTAATGCTTATTTAATGCTGATTACAATTTGAAAAAAGAGAAAAATATTCATAGGGCTGAAAAAAAGCTGCAAATGAATTTTTTGAACTAGTTTTCTGTGATCAAATAAATATTAAAATTTACAATTTCATTATAATTTGCAACACAATTGTAATAATACGGTATATTATAAAAATTTCAATGCGAGTATCTTTTTGTATAGAGGAGAGTATATAATCTTTTTTTAATAATTACCATAATCAGCAACTATTGAATTTATTTCAAATGTTTCACGTTTTCTATTTATGCAATAATTATTTTCTCCCCCAAAGATATGAAGTAAATTTTTGGGTGACAAAAGTATGCTTAGATGTACTTTCAAAGATAAGGTTAATTTTAATAAAACTATTTTAAAAATGTGATTTATGCTTTCGGAGTTGAATAAATCCCACAAAGCTAAGAAGAATTGTATTTTTTCAAGCTTGATTAATGTCTGAAGTTAGACATTTATTTATGTTATTGTTAAAATCTGATTAAAAATTAAAATGTGATTTTATCTGAATGTTTTTATTTAAGTAATTAATGAATTAAAACGAAAGCTTGCACCATTTTAACTTTAATACTACAAATACCGGTTTTGGTAAAAGGGACCAGCATTGCGACCCCTAGTGAAAACTTAATCATGTCAAAAAATATATGCTATAAGTTTATATTAATTTCCCTAAATGCTGTTCATAGAATGTTACAAAGATTTTTTTTTAATACTATTGTGGATACATTGCTGAAGCTCTTAATGGTACGTTATGAGTAAAAGATGATGCAAAATAATTTGTACAGTACGTTGTTGAGTCACCTTCGAAAGCTTTGAAAATCAATTGGAAATCAGAGTAATTCTTTAGATTTTTAAAGTAATTTCAGATTTATTAAAATCATAAAACCTGCTCCCAAGCACAGATAAGAAGATAAAAATTTTGATAAAATTTAGTCAAACTTTGTGCTCAAAATATTAGTAGCAATATAAATTATAAAAATAAGATTTTTTCTATAAGAAAATACTTGAATTTAAAACACAAACACAAAATTAATTGTTATAACTACATATGTATAATATTAATATATTTATATTAAAGATTTAGGAGATAATTATTTCCCTGGCCATATATGATTCTTTAAGTAGTAATTACATGTGCTTACAATGATATTAGATAATGGTAACATTGAACATGTGTTTTATGAAATTGTAAATAGAATTATTTTGTAATGCAATGCCCAACCTGTTTTTCCCTCTAAACCAAAACTATCATTTTACGAATCTGTCCAATCTCTTTTCTAAGCTGATCTTCTAATAATTTCCGTTTCCCTTCCATCACTGTTTTCATGTTGCTGATGCTTTCATGGACTGTCAAAAAGCCTTCTCTGCACTCCCGTTTGAGCTTGGCTATTTCTTCAGTATGCCTTTGGATAGTTTTATCCATTTTAGCTAGCAGCTTGGTCTCCATTGACTGAAATAAAAAAAAAATGTAGGTTTAATTTAGACAAAAATTATTTTTTATTTCCAGCTGTCTTTAGTAAATATATATATAAATTTCCCAACTTTGCCAGTCTGCACAACATTAAAATTCATTTGAAATAAAAGGAAGAAAAAATAATAAATCTCACACCAGTCAAGGTGCAAATTTGAAACTTATCCACTGGTACAGTTGCTCTGATAATTGCTTAACATAAATTACTGCTTCCTGACAAGCCATTCGACTCCTTAGCTTCTGTGACCTCCCCCTTTTCCATGTCACAACATCTCCTTTGTGCTCTCATGCGATTTCCCAACAATATTAAATCAATGAATGTGGATTGAAAATATTTTTACACTAAAATATTTTATTTTTAGACACATCACAAAAATGTCTCAAGCTGTGGCGGGCCATTTAAAATCTGCTCACGTGCTGCATGCAGGCCACAGGTCGGACAGCACTGCTAAAATTTATTATAATGTCTTTACAATAAATTTTGTGTTAACAGGTGCTTTAATAAACATATCTACATACAGATTGGGCATTATCCATATGAGACCGAGATTCGTGTAGCGATTCTTCCAGTTTTGAGATGCGGGCATCTGTCACATATTGGCCTTCATCTATTTTCTTCAGCAGTTTTTCCTTTAGACAAAAAAAAAAATAAGTTCAAATAATGTCAGTGTAGAAATTCTTGAAAAAAGTATAAAAATAGATTGAAACAATGTATTTAAAATCCATTCTATAGGATTAAGACATGTGCATTCTGAGATTTTTCCCCCATGACAAATATTCATTATATTTATATTAATTTACTAGACGAGGCCATAGTTTCCTCCCTATATATAATTTTTATTATTGTTTTTATTGGAACTTTTAATTTGTACCTTAATAACTAATTTTATGTGTAAATCAGAAATGACCTTATTTTACATCTAGAAAAACATGGGTCAAGTACATCTAGGAATAAAAAATAAAATTTATCAGAATGATACATTTCAAAACAGTACTTAACTAATAAGATGAATAATTAAAGATATTATTTTAGTGAAACTATTTCCTTTTTCAAGGTTTTTAGTTTTCCATGGTAGCAGTAAGGGGTTAAAGCCTGGAGGTTGTCTATAGCACAAACAGTAAAAAAAAAAATTCATATCATGCTGCTCAACTTTAACACTTTTAGTCTTAATATTTTCATTTAAGAAATAGAAAAACGAAAGAAAGCCTAATTTACTGCCGAACACTATATGTTGGTACTGTGGTTTGCTCATGTGCTTTTTGGTAATTTACATTTTTGTATACAAAGAAACTTACTTGCCATAAAATAGATCAAGTGATTTGTTTAAGAAATTTTAAACAATTTTTATCTTAACAACACATTAATTTTACAATTCAATGGCTCTGATGGCTAATCATAGTCAATGTATCACTCTCAAATGTCCCAACTGCAGTTTCAACTGGATTGATTCCCTTTATATTTAGGTGCTTCTTATGAATTTAGTGAATTGGACTTTTTATTTAAAAGTGGTAATTATTTCACATACACTTTCAAATGTTTAATTGTTTGTGACTTGAAAAATTGTTTAATAATTAATTCTTTTTATTATTTTAAAAAAGAATAAATATAAATCACAATATGCAATTATTAGTTTGCATAGTGATACACAATGAACACAGAAAACGTAAGGTCATGAAATTATTTATCTTCGATTTTCATTCAGCTATCACAAATAATAATAAATTAAAAAAGACACTTACCAAATTAAGGTCACTATTTCCTTCTGCTTTTTCAATGGCAACAAACAATCTTTGCTCAAGTCTTTCTCTCTCTGTTTCAAAATTGCTCTGCATACTTGAAAGATTAGCTTTCATGTCTTCAATTAGCTGTCTTGTTTTTGCATCAATCATTGACATTTGTGTGTTAGTATCACCCTCTAGGTGCTGAAGTTTCATGCGACTTTCCCCATTGATACGCTCAATGTTGCTGTTCAGAGTAACAAGCTGAATGCAGAAAGGCAGATATATAAACATTAAAGACAAAGCAAAACGATAATCAAATAAATGGTACCGGTACTCTTGTACTTGTAATGTGTAATCAGATCATTTATTTTCCACAGGTATTTTAATTTTAATGTAAGCAAATTTTGTATTCTTCTTTTTCAAATATTTTCTTATGTCTTTTGTAGAGATTGTTATATAGGACACTTCTCCCCGTGCGTGAACTTTGCTTGACCCCCAAATTAGATTCCTAGCACACGCTGCGTTCATAGATGGGCGTGGCTTAGTCTTTGATGTATCCTGTTGACTACCAATTGAACATGGTTAGTATGTCTCCTAGTATCTTGTCAAAAATTTGCTATTTGTTCTAGAAACGTAAACAAATGCTGAGTAGTTTCTGGAAGGCAGGGCTTACGCTGCATACACAAAGGGATTGACAAACACGAAGACAGAGATAGTCGGAGATTGATAGAGAGATTCAGAGAGTTTGATATGTATTTTTAACTTCACGATACCGGTATTATTTTTTGTGTACTCATATTTGTTTATTCGTATTCATCATTATTAATTGGCACATTGTACTAATTATGTACCGGTACCAGATTTTCACAGCACTCTGTAAGTTGATGATTTGCAATTATATTTAGTTTGTTTTATAATTGTATTATTACTAAATTAAATTTTATTAATTGTGATTGGTACTGTTTTCAGTGTCGTATTTTTGTTATTGTATTTAACGAGCCATAACTTAAAACAAGAGATTAATTGCTCACAATAGAAGCCAGTGCGTAACAAGATCTTAAACAGGAAACTTAGAGAGACAAAAAAGCTTTAATCAAGAAAATTCAGTTACAACATTAAGTCACTATTTCATCATTCAGTTTTTTAAATTTTACTGTTACATTTTTTGTTATAAAAATATACAGTTAGCAGAATGAAATTACTTGAAAACTAAAAGTCTTTAAATTGACTATAGGGCCTCTATAACTATTTGCTTATCCAGTTTATTTCTATCCAAATATGTTTTGAAGGATGCAGTTATTTCTTGTTTTACCATGTACTATTGCCTTGTATTATGTGAACCCCTTACTTTTTGTTTTTAAAAATCCCTAAAAAACTAAATTCATGTAGAATGCGGTCTTTCAATCTTGTCCGTTAATAATACAATACAAAATAACAAAATAAATATTTATTCAAAATCCCTAAATTTAAATTGACGATAATATAATATTTAAAATAAACTGTGGTCATATTAATAAAACTATCCTAATGTTCCTTCAAAGGGGAATTACTTACTTTACTGTGTTATGCACAGATATGATGCCCACTACAAAAAGGTATTTCTGACACCTCAACCTTGAACTTTTAATAAAGCATGCATCTGTATTGGTTACAAGTGTGGAAAATTTATGTGTGATCGGTTATCCTTTTACTTTTATGAAATTCGGTTAGACCGAGCTCTTTAAATATGTTTTTTTTTCAATATGGTGTCACCCCCTGAAATGGTGTCACCCGGTACGGTCCGCACCCCCTGCACCCCCATAGCTATGCCACTGATAAGAGGGAGTTAAAGAGTTTGTCAAAAATTATAATTTAAAGAAATTAAAAATATCTGCCAGTGTCACCAGTGCTGCAGAGAAGAAATCTTATTTTTCTCTCTCTCTAATTCTGACTTGGACTGTATGAGATTACACTACACAATGTGTTACCTGTGCTTCAAGCCCATGTATTCTATCAGTCATTCGATTCTGTATCTCTTGCTGTTGGTGTGATAGCTGCTTGATGGACTCAAAACATGAACGGAAATCTGCACTCAGCTTGGAAATGGAACTGTCACATCTAACAATTCTTCCTCTCAAATCTTGAAGTGATTGTACATGGTGTACTTCCAAGTTTTTCACTGCATTGTTTGTTGTCACATGAGCTGTATCCCGAGATTTAATGGAACTTTCCAAAGCCTAAATAAAAAAAAAGTGAAGTATTATTAATTACTTTTGACATTGCATATGTGGATTAACATGATTTCATTACATAGGTATTTCAGGATAATTTAGGAAAAGTTTAAAAAATACAACAAAAAATATATTTTTTATTAATGGGCTTGGTGTGACACTCGGTAAGAGAAAGAGTAGGACACTAGGTAAACATGGCAGCTAAAATCTCATCCAGGCCTATCTGCCACAGGACATACCACCCACCTAAGTGGGTGTTCTTTATTGGAACTAACAAAATTAAAATATCGGCAGACACCAAAAAGGAAGGAGATAAATGCAGTTTAAAAATAAACTTTCTTAAATAAAAACATTCCAAATGCTATTAAATTAATTTGTAAAAGTGGCTTCAGCATAAAACAAACTACTCAAAATAAATAATATATATTTTATTACTCACAGCAATATCTCCATTTAATTTATTAACTACAGCTGTAATGGTGCGAATGTGCTCTTGTAGAAGTGCTCGAGCTTGTTTTTCTTCATTCCATGTTCCTTGAGTAAAGTTTAAGCTCTCTATCACATCTTCCTTAATTTTAAATGCTTTATCAATGAGAGCCTGAAAAAACAACAAATGTTTATAAAATAAAGGAGATGTTGGAATGCAATAATGTTTAAGTACTGTAGATTTCTAAAAAAGATTCAGACAATTTGTGTATGTAACAAGTACTGTTAGACTTTATTTAAAATAAACAAAATACACATAAAAACATTTCAGTGTTAAGCCTTGCTTTGTTAAAAACAAAAGAACATTAATCTAAATTGTACAAAATGTGTAGCATATTTGATGAAAAAAAAAGGGGAAAAGAAAGACTAAAATAGGCTTGCACAATGCCATACATTACAAAGGTTAAAAGACAGTCACTTCCACTTTAGCCTCTTTCAATTAATAAAATTACAAGTGGTTAAATTTTTAAAAATTAATTATTAGTCTAGTTTATTCAAACACCTGTATATTTTTATTTTAGTTTTGAGATATACTGTCATCTTTTATTGAAAATTATTGTTATTGCAATATACTGATTTCACTTCTTAGGCTTATAATATGACTGGAGCAATTCAAATTTTAGAATAAGATTGTTTATGAATCTAATAATAAGATTAAGAAATTATTTGTCCATTAAAATTTGTATAATAATATTTTTCACAGATGCAGGTGTCTTACTTGAGTGTTGCGTTCTTGCATTGCTAATCTGTCTTCAATGCTTTCAATGCGTGAAGGAAGATCATGTCTAACTGGTACTATTTCAGCAATCTGTCTTTGCTCAGAAACCAGCTGCCTTGGACTTCCAACAGAGATGGCATTGTACTCATGGGTTGTGTCATAAGGGGCTCTCAGCATGGGAAGATTTGTTCTTCTCATGGACATTTTTATGAATATTCTATTATTTCTCTGTAGAGGAATGTAAAAAAAAATAGTGTCTTGGAACAAAACAAAGAGGATAAGTAAAAGGGCTCAGTAAATACTATGTTACATTAAGCATGGAACTAAAGGTTATTACATTTTTTAAATGTATCTTTCAGAAAAAGTAAAGATCTGTTGTTTGCAGAGGATTAATAGTAAATACTTTTAGGACAGAAGAGATATTTACTAGTTAATTATGGTTGCAGTATGAGAGTTGGATACTGGAGATACATGTGCACATTTAAACCCATAGAGCTCTAATTAACTGATGATTATGCGCATGAAAATTCATAGCATCTTTACAGAAATTTAAGAACTAAGAGTTGCAAATAGAACAACTTTGATTTATAATATCAATAATAATACCGGTACCACTAAGATTTTTAAACAAATCTGCCTAAGTATGAAAATCCTAATAGTAGCACACTAAGTGTACAATTTTGGTACGGTGTGTGCACTAAATTTTATTTTACAGATGAATTGAATAGCCTCAATTGCATGAGCCATCTCATTTTGTGTGATAATCTAATGAGTGATCCTTTATTCTTTTAATGATGCTATTTATTCTTTTGCAGATAATTTGAAGATGTATATCAATGACATCTATGTGCTGTATGATTATAATTTTTATTTTACAATATAAAGTTATGCCATTAAATGCCTTATTTTTTAAAATTATATGAAAAAGCACAATCATAGTACAGTATGAATAAAGGAGAAACATGCACTAATAAGGCAGTGAAGTGTAAAAGAAGGACCTAAAGAACAATTATACTAGCAAAGCAGATGACTTATGATTTATTTTTGAGCTCATTTTTCAACTTGTACCACACATTATCAATAACAAAGGTGGGGAACAAGTCTAGGCCAAAGATTCAAATGTTAGGGTGACAAAATAGGGCTTGCTTCTATTTATTTACCTGGTTATTGTCACAATAATGGTTTACCATTACATAAAATACCCCCAACACAAATAGTAGCTTTAAAACTGTGATCAATAATTATTTATTAATTATAATTAATCACCTAAAAAGTATAAATACATTTCAAAATGTATAACACACAGAGCAGTTGCATGACTTTTTAATGGACCCCCTGCCCCTTTCGTGATTTTTTTTCACAATTCAGTGCAATTTAAAATACTTTTTTCTCAAATATTTTCTGCATCACTACTTTGGGCCCCTTAAATATCTAAGGCAGCTGCAGGGAATGCAGGGTGCTTGTGACAGTTCTGATTATATATAATAATTAATCAGTGGCTGATTATCTTTGGGCCATTATCTCAGTGGTGTCACTAGGGGGTACCGGCAGCACCAGGTGACACCCTCAAAGGGGGGCAATACGAATGAAAAATGCATATTTGACAGAGCTCGCTCAAGTTTGTTTCATAACATTAATAAGTTAAATATAAGAGCAGGATGCCAACAGAACTGAGTTCCACAAGAACAGGGTGCCACAACAGCATCTAGTGTGCTTGTTTTTCATATAATTTGTGGCGCAGTTTAAGTTGGTGACAACCAAAGCGGACCACGATGTAACTGCATTCACTTCAGAAAAACATAAACTATGATTAAATGAAGTTGTATGTCAATTTCTGTTATAATGTATTTATTATTGATTTTTTATATTAACTGCGAAATTTGAAGGGCTATTTCAGGTCTCCGATTTGTTTCTAATGACAATTTTCATCTTTGTATATGTACAATCTTTTTGCCCATGGCTCTCTGGCCCAGGCTTACCTATTGAATAATCTAATTCAGTAAGATGTAATTTTGTTGCAATTTCAAAACGCTATTACCTATGATTTCTTCTAAGTCTTTTGCTGCTTTAGGATTTAATTTAAAAACAATACTTTAAGTTTAAGTTAAATTAAGCTATTTTGTAATATTTGGATAAGAATTTATCACTGCAGGTCTGAGGCGTTGCTAACCCTATTGACGCCTCTGCCTAAACTCCAAGCCCAACCATGCATCCTAACCAAACTGATTCAGATGACTGCACTACATTACTACCACACGAGCAAACTGAACTAAGTCTAAAGTAAATTATGTATTATTAACTATTATGGCCCTATTTAAAATTAAAAGCTTATTACTATTACATCTAGTTTATACTTGGTAGTTACTAAGTTAGTTTAGTTAGCTATATCAGTTATTGTTATTAATAATTATTTTTTATTATGAGTAAATGCCCTTAGTCTTCATAATAATAATTAATAAAGGTATGTTTTAAGTTTAAGGCATACAATGACAATACTTGACAATACATTATTATTATATTATTAATAATTGATTGAAAATCTGAAGACTAGTAAAGAGTGAAAATTCTGTCCAAAGAAAGTTATGGGGCTGGCCCTGGGTACAAGACCTAGTAGTGCTGTATAACTTAAACTAACAAACAACTCACTCAGTAACAGTAGAACTTAGTAAAGTCTTTAAAGTACAGTTCAGTCTCACCACTCACACTAACACTACATTCAGTCAATGATTTCCCTGTGACTACTGTAAATGTGACTCTTGCTAGTCCTATAGCTAAGTAATGTTTTGAAATTGTTTTAAAATAAATTATTTTTCCTCCAAATATGAACATTTAAACATGTTTTCTTATAGTTATTTGTTTAACTATGAATTTCTTTTGAATAAAATTAGTATTTGGATGTTGCTAGTACACCACATCCGCCATTTGTAAACACTATAGAGTTCTCGCAAAAATCTTCGAGATTTCGCTACTTAACCATACTAAATTTCGAAATAATAAAATCACAGACTTCTAGAAAATTTATGTTAACTCTTTTTAATTTAAAATCAATGGAGGCTAACATTTAACTTCAAAAAAATGTCTCATTTTGAAAAGACAGTTAAATCTTTATGATTTATTACCAGTAAAACGAAAGCATTATGTTCATGTAAAAAACATAATATTTTGTGTAGTCTAAGGGATCGCGATTAGAAAATAAATAAAATATTTATTGTTACAAAAATATTTATTTTGAATATAAACATACAAATATGATGCATTTTTCTCAAGAGTAGAGGGTCCGTTATCTCCGCTTTTATTGCATATAATTGCCTTAGACTACATTCAAAGCTTTCAAATTGTTTGAACTCTAATCTGTGCATTAAATTTTATCTTACAAAACCATAAAATAATTAAAAAGATGCGCCAAGGCTAAGGGCGCGAATTCTAAACTTTGGCTTCTACTAATTGCATTTTAAACCTGGAGTTCTTCTTCATCCACGTACACATAATATATCAAAGGCTTCAATATCTGAAAATGGATTCATCACCAAATCTGTAATTTCCATCAGAAGAAGATCCTCACAAATTTCAGGATTTTCCTTATGGCCCCTGGTTTTCCCAAAAGTTTTCAAAATATTTGCCTTGCATTTTTCAAAATTTGTTTTCTTCTTGAAAACCTCTCATTCGTTTTCAATATACATTTCATTACTAGTTTAGTCGAATAAAGGGGGAGATACTGCAATCAGGTTAGAAAAATGGAAATGAGCGGAACAAAGTATGGGAAAACCTGAAAAGAAGAACGCAACTAAACAACGAACGTGTCGGCCATTAGCATGCAACAGCGAACAAACATTAATAAAACAGAATTAAAATTAAAAAATAAAATTTATCTGAATTGTAATATCCGAGAGGACATCAAGCGGAATGTGCCAGAACATAAGCAGAATCTCCGTGTTCGTTGTTTTGTTGCGTTCTTTTTGCAGGCTTTCCCATACTTTGTTTCACTCATTTGCTTTGTCTAACAAACCGGTAAAAGTTGCTTTTTTTTGGTTGCTTCTGTGCACAGTACAGGTGTGAAAAAAATCCACCTTATTGTCCATACATATTCACAATTTTAAAAAACCAACAAATCTCTCATGCACAAAAGTAATTAGGCCTAATAATATATATTTTTTTTATAAATGATAATGATGATTAATTATCCCTTACATTTTTCGTTGCTAAAATCTGGTTGTGTATCAAGAAAATTTTCTTTTCTTGGCAAGCTTTGGGGCAACTAAACATGTGACACCTCTCTCCCAGGAATTTATAATTTTGATTAAAATAAATATTGTTTTCATTTTCAAAATCGCCACCATGTTAATCCTAGCCTCCTCAAAATCTACCGGTGCTGAGAACTTCAGTGCCACCCCACTTCTCTGGCTACGGGCCGTCCATAAAGTACGTCATGCTCCAGATGGGGGGGGGGGGGGGGGGGGGGGGGGGAGTGGGTGTAAGAAAGTGTGACAGTTTGTGACAGGGGGGAGGGGGGTCAGGCCATGTGTGACGTTATACATTTTAAAAACAAATATTTCTCATTTATTATTATTTTTTAGTATAATTTAATAGCTTTAAAAATAATTTTCAAAAATTTTGTGAAGCATTTGAATTAGTTTATGTCAAAATAGCATGAAATGCGTATCTCCTGAATGTGTTGTTCACGAGTCCTCTCGCTAGGAGCGCTAGTATGCTGTTGCGAAGCCTTGTTTTATGTATAGCCTTGTCGAGATCAACAGGAGTTTTAAAAGTTCAACTATATGATCTTTACTGTCCATCTTTGCAGACCAGCTTTCTTGATCGAATTTGAAAATTATGTCACTTATAATTTGCCTCACAAACAATGTCGAAGAAACATGCAGGACAACACAGAGCTCGGGCCCGGGAGAATGTGCCAACCCAAACTGTTCCAGAATCAACTCAGATAAAACGTATCAGTCCTTTGAGAATCGCTGCTAGAAGGCAAAGAGAACTCATGGCAGTTATTGCCAGAAGAGAAAATGCACATTCAGAGGATGTTGAGTGGCTATATGAGGATGAAGTTGATCTGTCTGCAATTATCCTTTCAGAAAACGATGATGGTGAAAGATTGATGCCAGTCGTAACTATGGATGTCACTTCACTTCCCCATGGATGATGATGTCCAGTGAATATTTTTTAATTAAACATAATTCACAGGCCCATAATAAACAGATTCAATATAGCACAAGAGTTTGTCACATAATTTGTCAATCTAGTCTTTTTTAAGTCAAATTGTTTTGTTTCCTTTCTATCATTTAATCACTGGGTGAGGTCAAGTTTCGCTAATTTACTTCTTATACTGTGTAAAAAGATTGCAAAATCGGAAATTATCTAAAACTTGACCTCACCTTTAGTAAATGAAAAAGCAGCAGATAAATGATGTGTATTATATAATTGTCTAGTCTAATTTTTGCCATTTTTGTTTTCAAATTCAATCTAGATTGAGTTACTACTTCAATGAATAACTGTGACAACTGTTGACAATTAACTATTCTGCTATTAAAGTCATTTTAATAATGTGATAGTTCAAGTGGAAATTTTATATTTTAATACAGTTTAATAGTGAAGCGTGTTTTAGATTAAATTTTAATTATGTGTTAATTTAAAAAAAATTTGTTCGAAAGTGTGATGTACTTTAGGAAGGGGGGAGGGGGGTCCGAGATTTGTGACAGTTTGTAACGGGGGGGGGGGGGGTTGACATGGTCAAAAATACCATGACGTACTTTATGGACGGCCCCTTAATTCGATAGTCCATTTTGAGATCTATTTATTAGAACAACTTTTAAAAGGAAAGTAAGGATGAGATATTTAAGTTTATAGTTACGTGCGGTAAATTATAGGTAATTAAATAAAAATAGAGTTACAAATAGGCATAAGCAGTGAAATTATAAACGATCTTAAAATGGTGAAATTATTTGTCATAATTTATAAATTGGATAGCCTGTCTTGCTGGAGGTACTGAATTGTTAAAATCTCATTTTCACAATTTTTTTGGTATTCACTTATTATCAAGGAATAAAGTATGCATTATTTTACTAAGGCTACAGTTTCTTTAAAAAAAAAAAAAAAAAAAAAAGAAAAAGATTTTCATCATTACTATCTATTTACCTTGCGTAGATTTGAATCGAATTGTATTTCAAATAAATAACAGACAATTAAGCCATAGTGTAGGTAACTATTATATTTTTAAAAAAAGTGATTTAAAAAATTTTTTATTCTTATTTTCATTGACTTTTCAACGATTGTGTCATTGTTTTAAAAAGATCTATATCTGAAAAAGGATAATATAACGGGGAAACTGCTTTCAAGTCATGTGCAGTAAATAAACCTTGGGCTAAGATATGTTTAGGCTTAAAAAAACAGAACAATTAAAAGGAAGTTTCGGCTAAATACCTTTTTCAGAAGGCAAGCCAAAAAAAAAAAACTTTATGTTCCCACGTCAAAATTGAGCTCTCTCATTCTCTGTGTAGAAACAAAGGAGCACGATAAAACAGAGAGTAAAGCTGTTCAAAACTAAAAAGGGTCTCTAACATAAGTCTGTAATGCATGCTATGAAAGTACAAGAATTTAAGTATTATTAATGTAAAATCATTATTTTAAACTACAAAAAATTAGAATAGAAATGGAGAGAAATTGAGGACCACAAGTAAGAGAGTGTTTGATTGATTCAATATTGTGATATGGAACCGAAAATTTGAATTAATTTGTTTTTACTCTTCCCTCTCTCTGTTGTATAAATGCAAGAAATTAGAGCTTTGATTGATACATCTTATGTGCCCATGTGTTTACCTCCGTTAATATTGGGGAATGCTTGTTTTGTTCAATATCTCAAAAATGTTCACTGAACCTATCAGACAACTTTCTTTCCGTTTCACCTATTTAACAGCAGCGGCATCTCCAGCAAAAATCACTCTTCAACCGATAGGCCCTCTTTACTGGTAGAGGTCCTCTTAGGTAAAGAAATGTGTTCAGTTTACAGTAAATTTAAATAGGGGCAAGCCCTACTACTGCTCATTGAACATGGCTTTGTCCCCACGTGGGAAGGGTCTGCTCAAAAGTGACTGTAAACCAGAATATCTAATAGATTTTTATACCGTTTCAAGACAATTAGTGGAGGGGATGAGAATATCCTTTTAGTGTTAGGGTCAGCAAGGAGTATATGACGATTCTTTAAACAAGATCTGAAAACATCACTTAGTGTGCTAACTCGTTTGGGTGCCGAAACTGGGTAGTCTCGGGATAAGATCTGGAGCGGAATAATTCAATCATTTCATTTGCCCTATCTAAAAGGCTCAACTGAATTGCAAAAGCGACGCAGTCTAAGAAGTTGGGGAAAAGGTATGAAGTCTTTTTATGATTTAGGATGGGAGGATGGATACAGTTAATAACTACCGGTACTGCCGTCAGTTCACTTGTCTAAATGCTCCACTACAATCTATGTACATTTACCTTGATTTGTGGGAGACACTTGCCATGGACCGTGCAAAGCTGGAGAAGTAGACTCTGTCGGAGCAAAATCCTGAGAGAATAAGCGCACCGCTCACGCCTAAAGTACCCGAAACAACGCGTGTCCCACATGCGGGAAAGTTTCCAGGTATAACTAGGACTGGTAGGCCATCTGCGTCCTCACCGTGTAATACAGCCTTGGTCATCTTCGCGTGCGAATGAGGAACAACGGTAGCAGAGGTGAATAACCTGTTTTCTTCTACGATAAGGGAAATATCCAGAAAGCCTACAGAAATGTGTGAAGTAAATTTAATAGATGGATGGAATGAGTTTAGAAAATCCATAAATTGTTGGAGTTCACTTGTTTCCATGGTAGGGATGCCAATGTCACCATCGATATATCAATATCATTTGTAAAATTCTGGGAAACGGCCACTACAT